GAAGGATATCTATAGTACGGTCAATATAATTTAATAAGGGAGCGGATAGAAAGAAATTGATTTCCTTCATATTGTTCCGACTTCTAAATCGTTCTTTCGAATATCTCTCACTTTCCCGGTTGATGATGAATTAACACAAAATAATTTTTATTAATTATCTAATTTTTCCTGTTACTCCTCTTGCATCCTCCCATGAAGGTAATTACTGTTCAAGCGCAATTCTTGACATGCTATGGTAATTTTTCTAAGGTGTTAGCCAATTCATCTCCATTTCCTACGTTCAATGCTTTTGTATGGGTTCCTGTTCCGTTAGGTTCCATAGCTTTACATTCCTTGTGGTGTTGGGCCAGAATATTCTGCATATGATCCTGAGGTATCTGTTTATAAATACCTTAAACTTTTGCGCGATGTCCAACATTGCGTGTCAGCTTAAGTCCAACATTGCGTTTCAGCTGTCCCACTTTGTATGTTGTAGATCTTGTAAGTGAGGAGGCAGAACTAAACTGAGAGAAAAGAAAAACGAGAACACGCGGGGTTTTACACTACATTTACGCTTAAATTATAATATATATTATTTATTCAAATAACTGGTATAAATATTGGCCAATATTTCTCGATAATTATGATTTATTATCATTTGAAGTAGAATTTTATGTACGTTTTCGAACTTTTTTGTCCCTACCTGTGGTAATGTTTTCCAACTCAATTCACGATTTACCAATGAGAGAGAAAAACTCTCAATACCAATCCCAATCCCGGTAAGTGTAAAACCCCGCTACGTGTTTAGAAAGTCAGAAGAAAGAGAGTTGTTTCTCAGTTACGCTCACATACTCCCTCTTAGTTTGGTTTTGTACATGATGCCACTTCTCTGAGAGAAGATTTCATTCATTATTACATTCAGTACAATTGTTCATTTAGAAATGCTGCGTTGGTGCGCTTATGTTCTCGTTGTGAAGAACTGAAAGTTTTGCATCTTTTACATCAGTGGTGGGCATAACTAAGTGAGAGTAAATCAGTGATGCACACGGTGAGAGGATGGCAATTTGTAAATCAGTGGTGGGCAAAATTTAATTGAGAGCAAGTGTGTGCGAGCGTAACTTAGAATTCACCATTAAAAACGACTGTCGTAAAGAGAAAGAAAGAGAACATGTGTTTACCCGTCGACCCTCAGTTACGGTAGCGTATATGGGTAAGCATGGCTGTTGTAAATGTATTTGTGAGACTAGTGCACAAATCTAAAGCAGTCCACACACGTCAAACATGTGCCTTCCATCAGTGTGAATGAAATTAAAAAAATTAATTAAATAACAAAGTTCGGTCTTTGTTACGTCGTCATAATCGCTGTCCATCATCAATCTTTAAAAACCAAATTCGAAATGAAGTTTTGCTGATTCTTTTGTGGTCTAAGAGCTTTACACCGATCAAACGTACATGTTTGACGTGTTTGGGCCGCTTAAGCGTAGCCGCAAAATGATGTACACCACCATAGACATGTTTACTCGTTGAAGTCTCTACGACGACTAAACAAATGAGCGTAAGAATCAGTGTAAGTTGAGCTGACCGCTAGAGTGCAAGGGCGTGCATCCCTGATCTATGTCTTCGAGTTGTTGTGAGAGACTCCATTTTATGCCTCTTTTCTGAGTTTGAACAGTAGGGTCACCCTTATTAGGACATCCTTATTTATGTTGTTATGTTGCCGTTGCAAACAACTGATAGTTCTGCATGTTCGTACCACTCGGTAATGTCTATGTGTATTTATGTATTTTCTTGTCAGGGAACATCAGTTTGACAATGTTCTATGAGTTTCTCACCGTTCGACATTACGGTCCCAACACCGCTTTCACTACTATTGTCTTTTTCACTGTATAGTATATAGTTGCCATTTTCTGTGAGAAGTTCATTGATTTTATCTCATTTCACTTTGTTCTTATAAAATGTAATTTGATGTCCTAACTATAAAAGCCTTGGAACTTCACGAAGAGTTCGACCATTAAATTGCGCAATGGCGTCCTACTTCATGTTCAAAATGTTTTTTAGTATTGCCACTTTTTTCTGGGAGCAAATTAATTCAATGTATCTGTTGATCAAACCTTATTTACCCTAAATTATGATCCTGCTGAACCAATAACCCGAACAAACAATTACACATTGCTAATGGTGATGTTTCTCAACAATAACTCTTGGGTTTTCCTACACTACAGATGATGCAATATAACTAGCTGACATAGTCACCGAGATGGAAATGAGCCCCAGAAGAAATGTCTTTTTTGTCATTATATCCCGGAATGCCTGCTCCGAACTATTCTGGTCCGTGCCAGGATAGAAAGAAAGCCCGAATATTGGTTCTGCAGTGTTTGTCCTAATCTCATCCCCCATAGATTTATCTCTGCCGAGGTAGAGATTCTGAATGTATATATACTGTCGATGAACAGCTGTACACCGCGTTATTTGCTTTTAGAAGATAATAACCGCCAGGTTTTAGAGGGCTTCAATGCCCACCATTCCGCCACACCATTGTGGCATTTCGACCTATGTAATGAACAGAGCGTTGGCTGAACAAATTAGTAGCTCAACATTTTGCACGGTTAATGAAAATGTCCCCGCGAGAATAAGAGGGGATTGCCATAGTTCGCCAGACATCATCATAGTGGCACCGAGTCTAATTAAAGTAGTAACCGAGAAACCCGTCATTTCACTCTGCTTAGACCACCTTCCTATCATTTTCTCCGTCAACAGATCACATTTGAACGCCACAATTTCCTGAAATATGGGAATATGATTGACCTGGTTTCGCAGCCCATTCTCTCAGATCCTTGGGTAGCCGAAAGGAATTTCCGTAGAATCACTGCCCTTCGCTTCATACCCGTTGGTCGAATACTCAAAGTAAGACCATACTTTCTATCAAAAGCGACGACTTGCCAATGAACGTGATGACCTCCGTCTTACGACCGCTAAAGGCCCAAAGGTGAGAGAAATTACCCTTTAAAGTCAACAGGCTAGTATGCGAGCACACAAGTAAATAAACTAAATGTTAGAGTTGGGTAGTTCCGTAGCTTCTAAATATCCTACTAAATAGAAATTATTTATAATCAATTTCAATTTCATTAAGGAACTAGTTAATTTAAAAAAAAGGAACGCCACGTGAACTTGATTGCCCAACTCTACTATATGTCTGGTCTTCAGTCATATATGAAATCCAGAAACAAGCAATTCAAAACCTGTAGAGTGAAACAGGGAGTTCCCCAAGAAATCCGGAATTTTTTAAAATTTACCTTTCTGAATTTCCACAAACACCGGATGGCTTAGAGATCGTCAGGACGCATTATTGGTGTTATTTGTGAAAGATTAAACTACTACATAATTAAACTTGTTTCTTACTTCTATCTGAGGAATATGAAAATATCCGCTGCCAAATGAACAGCCACGCTGTTAATCACATTATTCCGACCACAAATTAACCCAGGTTCTTCTGATGACCTTAATAGGCCGGTCAGTGGTAAGCTATGCGATGCCAGTGTGGTTTTATAATATAAGATATACGCAGTGAAAGAATATTCAGAAATGCCAAAATCCGCCCTAAAAACTACAACAGAATGTCTCCTCATGACCCCAGTGGATCACCTTCATGAGGAGATGAAGATCTTAGCCGTCCATCGACACAATATGTTGTCGATGCAGTAACTATTTGGGTGTTATCGTCGGGAACACAAATTCCACAAACACCTGACGCCATAGAGATCGTAATGTATGCGGATGACTGTACGATCATGCCGTCAGTACGTATTATTGGTGTGATTTGTGAATGATGAAACTTCTACATAGCTGAACTAGTTTCTTTCTTCGATCTGCGGAATATGAAAATATCCAACATCAAATGAATAGTCACACTGTTGACCACATGATTCCGACCACAAACTAAGCCAAATACTGGGTGTAACATTCGATAGCCAATGTTTATGAGATAAACTGAGAAGTAGAAATAAAGTCTTCAAGTCGCTAGCAGAGCTTGGGGCGCTGACAAAGAAACCTTGTTGACACTAATAGACTCGTCACTGGTAAGCAATGCGGCGCCAGTGTTGTTTGAAAATATAAGAGATAAGTAGTGAAAGAATATTCAGAAATACCAAAATCCGCACAACAGGGTGTCTCCTCGTGACATCAGTGGACCATATTCACGAGGAGATGAAGATCTTATTCGACCATCGACAAAGCAGTATATTGTCGATGCAGTAACAGCTTGGTTGTTATCGTCTGGAGCACACCTGCCATAGAGAGATCTATATGATCTAGAGAGAGCGCTCCAAAGGTACAAACGTGAAACACCAGACCAACTGGCACATCAAGCATATCTGAATGACATTCATACAGACGCAATCGCTCAGGCAGTAGAATAATATCGTGTGAATGCCATAATCGGAAGCCATCCAACGCAGCAGAGGAGAAGCAACTGCCAGTACAAACACGAGCAGTTCTAGTTCAACTAAGATCAGGATGATGGAACCGCCTTAATTCCTATTGCACAATGATTGTGGATATGTTACACCTCTTCAACTATTCAGCTAAGCCTACCCACGTACCAAATTTCTTATGGACCAAACTCAGAACCAGACAGTTCATAACTATTAATATGTGTTTTGTTGCTACAACAAAAATAATGGGATTAGTTTTTATCATCCTTGACGAAAATTATTTTGAAACAAGTGAGGTTCGGGACCTATATTAAAACCTGGATCGCATTATATTATTTGCCATCAACTAAGTACTAAGTGGGTATACGAAAATACGTTTAAACATTCATTTTCAATATCTAAAATCAGGGTTTGGCAATGTGACAATATAATTTACATTTCTAATGAAATATCGTTATCGATATTTTAACCTATTTCCGGTAAACGTATTGCAATGTCGATGATATAAAAAGCCAATGTGCGACATAGATTTGCTATCAGAAGTTGGACATCTTACATTTGGAGAACATCTGAATAGTATAGTTCATAAAAATGAAAGTTTGTAAGTGTTACGAAAATATAATAATATTTAAAATTCTGAATATTTTCTTCTCATCGTTTTCCTATTGCAGACTATTTATTAGTATTTGTCGCCATATTGGGTCCTCCGATAACTAATGGTCATAACTACCGTTATGGTCTCAATTATCCTGTGGAACGTTCACCAGTTGATTGTTCTACATGTTCGGATGGCGAACAAATAGTCGATCGAACTAGTTGCTCACGCTACTATCTGTGCATTGGTGGTCAGGCATTTCGAAAAACGTGTGCTCCCGGTTTATTGTTTGATGCACGATCTCGTTCGTGTAATTTGGATTATTTGGTCGATTGCCAAGTGGGTCGTTACAATTACAATGAAAATAGAGAAAACTACTATAAACCAATTGTTATTGATATCTTGGGTCTTTTTCGATGGCCTTTTGGGCATAAAAATCCGGGTAATGTGCCTTCAACTCATGATTCTTCGGTCAATAATGTCGATGTTCAGCCGTCAACAACTTCGACACCTCTACCAAATAAAGTGAATCCACCTATAACTACTACATGTGAACCTACGACTACCACTACAACATGTGAACCTACGACTACTACAACATGTAAGCCTACTACTACCACTACAACATGTGAACCTACGACTACTACTACAACATGTGAACCTTCGACTACTACAACATGTGAACCTACGACTACCACTACAACATGTGAACCTACGACTACCACTACAACATGTGAACCTACGACTACTACTACAACATGTGAACCTACGACTACTACAACATGTGAACCTACGACTACCACTACAACATGTGAACCTACGACTACTACAACATGTGAACCTACGACTACCACTACAACATGTGAACCTACGACTACTACTACAACATGTGAACCTACGACTACCACTACAACATGTGAACCTACGAATACTACTACAACATGTGAACCTACGACTACTACAACATGTGAACCTACGACTACTACTACAACATGTGAACCTACGACTACCACTACAACATGTGAACCTACGACTACTACTACAACATGTGAACATACGACTACTACAACATGTGAACCTACGACTACCACTACAACATGTGAACCTACGACTACAACTACAACATGTGAACCTACGACTACCACTACAACATGTGAACCTACGACTACTACTACAACATGTGAACCTACGACTACCACTACAACATGTGAACCTACGACTACTACTACAACATGTGAACCTACGACTACTACTACAACATGTGAACCTACGACTACCACTACAACATGTGAACCTACGACTACTACTACAACATGTGAACCTACGACTACTACTACAACATGTGAACCTACGACTACTACTACAACATGTGAACCTACGACTACTACAACATGTAAGCCTACTACTACCACACCAGGATCTCCACCTGGTTGCAATGATAATAAACCACCATGTTGCGGTTGTGGTGGATGGGACCACAATCATGGTTCTGATTGCAATGGAAACCATAGACCTAAACCACCATGTTCAGGGGATAATGGAGATGATAATGACAATGGTTCCGATTGCAGTGGAAACCATAGACCTAAGCCACCATGTCCCGGATGTGGTGGATGGGATCACAATCATGGTTCTGATTGTAATGGGAATAATAGACCAAAACCACCATGTTCAGGTGATAATGGAGATGATAATGACAACGGTTCTGATTGTAATGGAAACCATAGACCTAAACCACCATGTTCCGGATGTGGTGGATGGGATCACAATCATGGTTCTGATTGCAATGGAAATAATAGACCTCAACCACCATGTTCAGGTGATAATGGATCTTATAATGATAATGGTTGCGATAATGACGATGGATCTGATAATGACAATGGTTCTGATTGCAATGGAAATCATAGACCTAAACCACCATGTTCCGGATGTGGTGGATGGGATCACAATCATGGTTCTGATTGTAATGGAAATTATAGACCAGAACCACCATGTTCAGGTGATAATGGATCTGATGATGAGAATGGTTCAGATTGCAATGGAAATAATAGACCAAAACCACCATGTTCAGGAGGCAATGAAAATGGATCTAATTGTAATGGTAATCATAGACCCTGCTATGATCGACCAGAATGGCCTTGTTCTGATGAACCGGACTGCGACCACGAATCTGACGTTTCTACAACGTGCACCACAACAACTCCCTGTCCGCCATCATCACACAATTCCACAAATTCGGGAACTGGCGACAATACTGGCTCGAACAACGGAACCACCAATCTCAGTTATTTGATGGGACCCAACGATTGTGCCTCTTTGCCCGATAATACCATACTCTTGGATTTGAGACATTGCCGTCGTTTCTATGTTTGCACCAACAGACGTGTAAAACGGAATCGGTGTCCCATTGGTGAATGGTATGACAAGGACGTCCGAAGCTGTCGTCCACGTTCTGAGGTGACCAATTGTGTGGCAAATAAGAATTAGTAAATGAAAACATTCAACTAGATCTCAACAACAATAGCAACAATGTATTCTGTTATATCTTTCAGTACACGTACATATTCTATACATAAATATTCAAACCCCAATCCTTCTCAAATAAAGTGAAATATTATATCAACATTTGAAGTGCTTTGGCACATATCTGAACTTGACCGGAGCTCTTATATGTGAGCTAAGTCAAAAAATTAAATTATATGAACAATTTTCTACTAGGAAATCTAGAAACCAGTGAGCGGAGCAGTATAGTCAGACGGGGCCGACCTACACAACTTCCATGAAAATCAAACTTTCTGTGGTTCGATATTCTGAGATTGGGCAATATTTCGGGATATTTCCACACTTTTGATTGGCTAGAGGTCAACAAATGTTACTAATAATCAGTACAGCCCTCCAATTACTTGTCCAGATTGTGTTGGGTTGTGATGTTCGGCTTTCGACTCGAAAAATACAAATAATTAAGTTTTCGGTCCACTTCATCCGAATAATTATTATCTGATCATCACCTAACATTTTAGGCGTTGTCCTTGACCATAACTGGAACATTTCAAAGCGATCAGCGCTATATTTCCGCCCTCCAGTGTGGTATTAGGTTACTAAATAATATATGAATACGTAAGCACCTATAAATATTTAAGTGTAACTCCCGCATCCGAGTACCTACGACAATATAATTGGTATCAATTTATAGGTCAACCACTCCTCTTGGATATACTATCAACTTCTCGGGTCTATGTCCTTCAGTGGTAAATATATACCCTATAGAATACAAATTTTGTCATTTTTCACACAAAAGTCAGGGTCCATTTGACCCGCTAAATATTGACCGATCTTTATCAAAACAGGCATGCTTATTCTTTGCGGTATTCGCGGTGTTTGGAGCGACCAGAAAAACCGACAAAAATAAAGTTTTTGGTCCATTTCATCCCCTAAATATTAACCGATCTTTTCCAAAAACAATAGGGGTCTTCATTGGCCAGAACCCATCCTACATGCAAAATTTCGTGAAGATTGATCCATAACTGTGGCCTGTATCGTGTTTACAAATTATAATGGACAGACGGACGGACACAAATGTCTAGATCGACGCAGCTAGTCTAGGACCAATATTTCGCGGCGTTACAAACTTTTGGGGCTGCACAAATGACAACATAGTTGTGTAGGGTATAAAAATATCTAGGATTATTTTTTTTTTAAGAACGCACCAAAGACGAAATATCAGTTCGATTGTGAGGAAACAAGTGCCACATTTGTTATAAATAACACCCATATATAATTTTGAACGATCGATTTTTCCTGGTCAAAAAAATGTATCCTATCCACACTGTGGTACAGGGTATTATGTCTTTGTGCATATGTTTGTCACAGACAACCGGAAATGTGATAGACACATGGTTCCTTTTGAGAATATGCATGGAATCACTTTCTTAGTCGATTTATGCATGTCCGTCCATGTATTCTTGTGAACAAATTACATTTATGATCCGATTTAGATGAAATTAGGCACAGCTCACTTATTTCATCGATTCAGATTTAGATATATCTCCCATATATATTTTCGTCCGAATTATCTAAATGGTGCAAAAAACACCCAATATTTGTCCGATTAAACAAAATTTGGTAAGGTGTTCTGAATTATGTCCCTATTGATATATACGAAGTTTTGTGCAAAATCGGTTAAGATTTAAATATAGTTCCCATACATAGTTTCGTTCGATTTTTGGTAAATGATGCACCAAACTGCCAATATGTGTCCGATTCAAAAAAAAAAAAAATTGATGTACGTGAAGTTTTATTGAAATCGGTTCAGATTCAGATATAGCTCCCATATATAGTTTTGTCCGATTTTATGTAAATGGTGCACCAAACTCCCAACATCAAGCCATACACATGCCTTTCTGCAACCTTTTTCATTCATTCATGCAGATTTAGAGTCGTTTGCGTTCAATGGGAGTAATCGATATAAAGCTAACTTTAATTCCTATGAAACAGACACCTGTTCGGAATATATATGAAAGCTATGTCTGCATCTGCACCAATTTCAACAACATGCAATAACGTCATTCTAGTTGTGCAATAACGTCTACGTTGTGAAAAATTTCGTGTCAATTGGACAAATATTAGAAGTTTGGTGCACCATTTACCTAGAATTGGACGAAAATATGTATGTGAGAGCTACATCTAAATCTGAACCAATTTCAAAGACATTTACAAGAGATTAATTTATATTAACATCAGTACATTGTAGAAAATTTTTTGTTAATCGGGCATACTGTGGGTCTTTAGCGCACAACTTACATAAAATCGGAAGAAAAGATATATGGAAGCTATATCTAAATCTAAACCGATTTTTACGAAATTTATCACACATCATTCTAAACTCAATTCAGTACGATGTGCCAAATTTCATGCAAGTCGAAAGATATATAGAGACTTTGGTGCAACATTTACCTAAAATCGGACGAAAATATATATGTGTTCTATATCGAAATCTGAACCGATCTTCACGAAACTTAACACACTTCATTCCACACTCAACTAAGTGCGCTCGGCAAATTTTTTTGCAAATCGATAGATATATAAGGATATTAATGCACTATTTACATCA